GCACCCGGGTTGTTCCAATGTACCCTTCCCAGTCAGCGATGTCACATTTACATTCTTTAGCGCAAAGTATGTACATAGCAACCTTCCTCCCAAAACATGTAATCCCTACATGCTTTGCCGACTATGTAACTAGTACATCCGGTGCGATTCGGCTAGCTTTCGACCTCTCCCCCTGGCCTCAAGTTGAGTGCTGACCCTAGCCACTCTGTGGAGTGTGCATGGCCATTTGCTAGCATCAGCTCTTTGATGCTTTGCCTCATATCCATCAAAAACCCTGAACCCACCAACCACCAGTCCAACCACCGGCCTGCTTTCTCGCGTCCACCGTCTTGCCGTGTGAAGAATAGGACCCTGGCGGAGATGGAGCAGTCGGCCGCCGAAGTGCAACGGGCCGCGGCGCAGCTCTCGTTGTGCAAGGTGGATTGGCTGCGGTGCTACGAGTCCGCCGCTGGGCAGGACGTGCTTGGGAGCGAGGTAGGGTGATGTGAGGTGAGGTCGCCAGGTGGTATGGTGGGGACCTCTGTGATGCGAGGGAGGTGTGATATTGGAGGGCGCCCCTTGTTTAATGCCTTGTCGTCCCGGAACATGTGGGGGTGTTGGAGTTTCAATGCAAGTGATCCGTTCTTCAGTGCCAGTTGTGAGTGGCTCTAGCGGCCCTAGCGGCCTATGGATGAAGATGTGGGAGGCCAGACACAGGGAGCGAGTTAGTTGAGTTGCTTCCCGCAGCTCAGAGGTTTGTCACCTTGGAAGCTTCAAACCCTGTCCAGCCTGGCTTCACAGAGCTTCACCCATAGCACATCGTAGCACTCAACGCCCAAGGCCTTGCGCAATGCTCGCGATGATGCAGAGGTGGAGGCTGTGAAAGCAGCGGCCGTGGCACAATCTACACAGATGGATTGGACGATTGTCGCATCCTCCCAGTGTGCCATGTCCGGACCCACGCATGGCACAGCACAAGGGGCACATGGTATGCTTGGCACTGCTCGGAGCGGTGTGCATGAGGGGCATGGCATGGCAGATGGTGCACTTCATGACGCGGTCAGGACCGTTTCACCTGCCTCACATGGGGAGGTCGGCGATGCGCATGGCCATGGCGCATCAGGTGACTTCGCCACCGCCAAGCACCACTTGGAGCATCGGTGGATGGAGAAGACGGCCTTTGGCGCCGCCGAGCGCGTGGTGGAACGCATGACCGAGAGGGTGGGCGAACGCCTCGCCGAGCGTGTGGGGGAGCGGATGACGGAGCGCGTGGGGGAGCGCTTGGTGGAAGGCGTCGGCGAACGCTTGGCTGAAAGGAGTGCTGAACGCTTGGTGGAGAGGGGCATGGAGAGGGGTGCAGAGATCTTGGGCCGGTGTTCGAACATTTTGGGAAAGATTTTGCATGATTTTGCTGCATGTTGGATTTACTGTCTTTTGGCACCAAACTGGCGAGTTACAGTTTCGCTCCGGAAGCTGGTCGACTCCTTGGTCATCCAAGGATCGCCTTGCAGCGGGCGGGCCAGGGAGCAGCAAGACACATTGTTGGGCGTGCCATCGGCGAGTCCTTGAGGATGACGGAGCATGCGACCATGCAGGCGTTGAAGGCGGGAGAGAGCGAGCGATCGTGGCGGAGCGAGCGAGCAAGCGAGCGAGCGAGCTAGTGGCGGGAGCTAGCATGAACAGAGAGAGAGAGAGAGAAAGAGCACATGTTTGATCATGTTTGTATTGTTTCACATGAATGATGTATACTGTATACTATATTAAACTATTGTATGATATTGTATATATTAATGTATATATATATATATATTCGAAGAATACTATCACGCAGCTGATGATAATTCTCCCTACAGATCCATTGCCAAAGTGGCAGATTGGCTTTCCTAAGTTGTTGTTCAAGCACGTGTGCCTTTACAAGCTTCTGAGTCGTCAAGAGTGCTAAAGCCTGTCATTCTTGAGAGGATTTCAATGGTTTGGTGGGATCATTCCTACATAAAGACGCGCCCCAAACAACAGGGCCTTCCAAACTATGTAATTCATCCAGAAATCCGATTCGGAAGTCTAAACCATGCTAAACGGCTTGGCTATCCCACCGCTTCAATCGGTATTTGTGGACGAAAACACATTCCATTTTTTTTCCCGCTGGAAGGCCTTGAGAGTTTTAGTACCCTTCGTTGGAATGCTTTTCGTGATCCACCTGGCTGAGTAGCTTGGAGAAGGGCGAGCCTTCCAAAAGACGATGAGGATGAACACCCGCCAAGATCCCAAGTCCCAGTCATAGTCACAGCTGACATGCTAAAATAGGAAATCATAGGATAATAGCCTTGAACCCAGCGAATCTGGGGGTGGCCTTTTAGGCAAACCTGAGCCATTATGTATTTTTGTCCTGTCGATGGATGCTGGGTTTATATACCCAGAACTGTTCTTGATTTCAGAGCTTGTTTGGCAAGCTAACGCCGAGCGCTAGTCAAGTCTTCAAGTCAAAAGCAGAACTGGTTCATGCTGACCGGCCAAGGCATGACTGGCACAGGTTCATGGAGGAGTGGAGCCCTGCAATTTGCATTTCACAAGACTTTGCTTAATTTTTGCAGTTCTGTTTTAGCAGCTAGGGACCCACTAGCAGCCATCATCAGCATCATCAGGATCTTCTTACTTTTGAATGGGAAAACCCAAGTAGGGATGAGGTATATGAGATGCCGTCAGGCTGTCAGGAACATTTTTGGGTTGTTGAAGAATGTTGAGATGTCTAACAGGCCGTATTGGTGGGAGTTCAGTGTTGTTGCTTGCTGCTGTATGCAAGAATGCCATTATCGCACCATTCCAAGAACTTAGAGAAGGCGCATCGTTTAAGCAGTGTTGCACACTCTTCGACTTCATGGTTGTCATTGGTTGTCTCATAATGAGCCTCCCACGATCACCCCAAAGAGCCCACATGTTGAGCCTCAACAGACTCCAGAGCTGCAGAAAGCAAGGAAAGCACGGAGATCCGTGAGCTGCAGCCTTTTCGCATTGGCACTTCTGGGAGATGCCATGGATACCTTGGCACATGTGCCTCAGACATATCAGACATGGATACCTTAGACTTGGCAGACCCAGAGACGCTGCGCATGGAATCTGATGAGTTGCTAAGCAGGCTGTACACAGGAACATCGTTGACATGGCCTCCGGCAGTTTATGGCCTATTGCATGTCTACGAAGATCTACGAAGTAATGTTTTTTAGGACCCATGTCCGGGAGTAGCAGGCTTGGCCATGCTGTTAAAATCCTGGTTTGCTGACAGGTCTGTGTGATTTCGGCTGGGTTGGTGCACATCGACCATGACTTCTTGCACAGTACTGAGAGTTGCTGAGATGAACTGAGATAGGAGCTATTAGTAGGCGTCCTTTCAGAGACGCTGCGTCCTTTCGGTTACAAGGATCGGTCCACACTCGCTGCAAGCCTTCCACTCTCCACTCTCCACACCCTCCTTTTTCACACACCGGACTGAAACCTGGGTGCCAGAGCATTTTCCTCCACAAAGCCGCTCAGTGGAAATCCAGTTTCCAGGTTCTATGTTCGTTTGCAAGGGGGTAATTGACAGCGGTCCGCTTAGACCTGGCCAAGTGGCTTTGGACCCCTAGTTCGGTCTATGGCTTGCTCGAACCACGACATCGCGGTTTGCCTGGCGTTCACGGTTTGCTTATTTTTGCTTAGGGGGTCTTAGGCGTGATAATTTGATATCAATTTCTTATTTTACCTACTCTGAGTCGGAGTGAATCGCCACATTCTAGCTTTCTGAGATTATGGCATGGGCTTCGCGGTGATGGCCTGCTGCTCCGTGGTCGCTGGTGAGATCTCCTCCGCCAAAGCGCAACGGCGGGAGCTGAAGCGGACGCTTGGGGGCATTGGCTGAGTCGGTTGGCCTTTTCATATGTGTTTCCAAGGAGAAAAGGCACACCTAGTGATGCTTGACTTGACCGTGTTTCTTTGGCTCACCCCCGGTGTCACCCCCTCTTTGCGGAGTCCGTTTTTGGGTTCAATCACTGATCCTTCCGTCGCCTTAGGACTTAGGAAGGGGTCCAAGGGAACAACTAGAAAGCTTTACTAGTTACTAGTAGCTTTGGCCTCCAAGCTACGTAAGAGTGATGGCCTCCACCTATAAGCAGCTTCGGTCGTTACGAACAAAACTTTACTAAGAAGTAGAAGATTCAAAGTCTAAGACATACGATAGAGCTCCTGAGCAAAGCTTTACAATAAAGCTTTACACGGAAAGCTTTACAATAAAGCTTGATTGTTACACTGATCCTTCCCACCGTCTCCTTAGGAACAGGTCCAAAGGAACCACTGTGGTGCCTATCACGGGCAGTCCTTGAACCGCGAGGTCCGGCGAACTCGCAGGTCATGGCCATCGGTTATATCATTGAGTCAGAACACATAGATTCTATGTGTAAACTGAATGCACTGTTATAAGATCGTTTAGTCATGGCTTGTATTCGGTTCTTATATATATTTTGTATTGTGTCAAACTGTCATCAAACTCATCAATTCCATGGTGGCTTCCACGATTGGTGTTGCCCATTTGGTCACCGGTCCAGGTGCGTCAGAGGCTCCTGAGACGATGAGTTTATACTACGCCCCTGGACATGACATGATGGCATGTCTGGAGAACAACGTCAACTGCGGCACAGCGAGGCCACGCGCGCTCGGCACAGCATGCCATGGCTCAGAGGCACCGGCACTGTTGGGCTCAAAAGCAGTCCAAGCGGATGTCCTTCAGCAGAGATCGAGGAAGATGGATTTCCAACAAGTCGGTTTTCTGTGTGCGTTCGTGTATTCCCGCAGAAGTTTGCGCTCGCACACGCACACTTGCAAACCATCACGAACCTGGTACTTAGTTTGAAAAAGAACATCAATCCTGAAAGCGACAATCCTGTCACTGTTCCGATTGAACCCACGGACTCATATTGTTTCAAGTGGGTTGAAAGCACCCACCAGTTCTTTTATTCGTTGGTTCTGACCTGTTCGGCGGCGGGGCGTTTGGCTCGGGGTTCCTCCAGGTTGGAGGAGTGAGCATTTTTGTGTTAAAGCATCCAGGAGGTGCATTTGATGAGAGGGACTCAAAGAATGATTCTAATGATCATGCTTCAAGTTAGGATCTGATGGTGCCCGCTACTTAGCAGGACCGGCCTGCTGAATCCACCTCCATCAACCCCAGTCTGAGGATTCCAAGCCCGCTTCCCCAAGGAGCCAACTAATCCGCTGAGTGAGTGGCTGATTCTGCCCTCCTGCAACATGCCCAAGGCCACTACAATGGCTGCAAGTACTATCGAGAGCCGCTTGGCTTTGAAGGCATCCATTGCCGTTACTCTCCCTGCAACAAACATAGAAGTGGACAACCCCCTTTTTGTAGAGGAGAGAGGGGTCTTTTCAGGGGCCACGACGTCCGTAGCTTGCATTGGATGCCGAGACTGCCCCAACGGCTAAGAAGTTGGGCGACTTCATTGGCCGCGCATGAGTATGGTATGGCATACCGGCATACCCATGATGTTGTACATTCCAAGCACAGACCTTGAGTGGACGGAGTGGTCAACACCCACAGGGGCAACAAAAAACATTGACAAATAGCCAGCTACCAAAGTGCTCACCTCACCCCAGGTATTCCTAGGTGGCATGCAAGGACATCAAGCCAATAAGCCCTCACCAGCATCTATGATCCTAATAGGCATGTTGCACCTGAACGATCCTGAACGTGTCTTTCTTTGGGGAGAAGGTCTGGCTGAAGCGGTCGGATCGTCGCCCTGGACGATTCCTATCATCGATGATGCTTGGAGACCCTATCCCGGGGACACCGGGTCGATGGCCTTGTGAGTCTGAGCGAAGCCCAACCCTGGTAGGTCGACCTTGTTCTATTCATGTTGGGTGGTCAACCTGCCAGGGTTCTATTCTGTTCATTTTGGGTGGCCAACCAAGGTCCCCCTGGTTTCGGCTGCACATCCATCGCTGGGGGTGGAGCGCTTCCAGGGACCCTGGCGACCTGGTGCTTCCCACCCGATGGCCCAGGCCCCCAAAGGAATCATGAGGCTTTGCTCACCAGATCTCACAAGTACAACTTGCGAACACACGTGCAAACTGGACATGGGGGAACCCAAAACCTGTTCACCTGGCCACGTCCCGCACATGGCCACGTCCCGCAGCCGACGGCCCCTCACCGGTCCGGGACCCGAGGTTCGTGGACCATCGTCCCGGGAAGTTCGGACGCCGCGTCTTCACGGCCTTCATGTTGGCCTCGGTCTTGTGCCTCACCTGCGCTTTGACGACGACCCCCGGTGCGTCGAAGACTAGGGTCGAAGAAGGTGGCGTTGACCCCGTGGTCGGTCCAAACCCCCGTTTTCGGTGGATTCCGGTTTGGCAGAGCGTCTCCGACTCCGACTCGTTGCCAAGAAGGTCAACCCGAGCCCGCGATCTTCGGACCGATCGGATGTCTAAAAGGAGTCCACAACTCACCGTAGACTCTTGAGGACCATACACCCCCCCGTTTGAATTGAACATCCTCTCTTCAGAGGGGGGGTTATTGAATCAAGAGTTTACATTATTGTATAATATGTACCTACACACCAGACACTTCAGTTTTCATGTATCAGACATCACCAGACTCATTCACGTATTGAAGATTTACCACTGACCCCTGAAACCGCCTATCAGTATACCATGAAATGTTTGGGTCCCGGCTTGCCACCCTCAGGTTCGCGACGACCATGCTCTTGGGCTATGCCACCTTCGGAGATCGTGCAGAGGGGGTTGTGTTGAACAACTATGTGACTTGACGCTCAAGCGGAGGGTGATGTAGACTCTTGATCAATGAATCAATAACCACCCCATATGAAAAGGATGTCCAAGGCGGGGTTATTAATATTGGGGGAAGATCCCACGTTGGGCGATCAAATGATTCACGAAGAAATGGCGGCATTAGCTACTGTAGCGGCTAATTAGCCGACTGGTCCTGGGAATCAGCTGCTTTCAGGATGATTTAGAGGTGTTTAGAGGTGACAGTTGACCAGATGTTGGTGGTGCTGCTGGTATTGCAACCGGGCCAGGAAGATGGAAGGTTTGGATACCCCTAGAGTATGTCACTATAAGATGGTTATCATCTTCCCTTATATATAAAGCGGACAACCGCAGCCCAAGCAGATATTCAACCGGTATGGTTTGGGTGGTCTGAGCATTTCACGAAGCTTTCACTATTCACAACGAAAGATCTAGGAAAAGCTCCCCAGCTTACCGAAAAGGTGCAGAAGAGGGCAACATGTCCTACGATGTTTTGATCTACACGTTCGTGCTGCAGCTTCATGCGGTTCCGGCTTTGTGACACCTTTGCAGGTAAACTTTAGAATATAATTATGGGTTGACTTCTGGACAATTCTTCTCATATTTGCTAACTAGACCAGTGTTTTATTGGCTCTTTGGCTCTGACTGCGGGAATGTCCATATGATGTTCCTTGCAATAATCAAATTCGAACGGTTCAAGACCGCCCATCAGGCAAAGGAGGACATGCTGGCCAACATTGCTCGCTTCGGCATGGGCTTTGCCAACGTCTTTAGCCTGCCACTGATGTTTAGTGGTCTTCGTTCCTGGGCTTTGGACTTAAAGACTCAAGACGGTGGAATGAGTGGAATGGGTTTCCCATGGTTTCCCTACTGACAATACCAGCAGGTGGAAAACGGGTCCGGGTCAGAGAACTGTATTTTCTAAACATCACTATTGGTTTCAAGAGAAGGTCATCAAGTTTTGATGCTCTTGGCTTGGGTTGTTCTTTGTTGTTGTTCTTTTCTTGCGTCTTGCACACGTCGTTCGGTGAGCTGAGTGAAGTCTACATGTTGTACTTGTTACACTGGTTTCAGTGTAGGGTTTCAGTGTGTAGATGGTACAATCTCCAAGATGTCATGGACAGATGGGGGTCCACCATTGAAGCACCGACATTTGTGCCATTTGTGCCATTGGTCCTCTCAATCCATCTTCTCCTCACTCCTCAAAATCAAGACACATATAAATTACATTTAGGGTCCCCCCCGTCACTAATTGGTGCCGATATTAGATATATATGACACTATATGACTATATGAGACTATATGTTTCTCCTCCCCCAGTTCCAGCAGCCGCTCCGAAAACGGGAAGGCCACCACTCTGCCGCCAAGTTCGGTCCAGGAGAGGCCACCTTGGTCTTGCTGGCCACTGCCGTGCCAGACACTGCCGCTTTGAAACCGAAAGCACCACGAGAGGTCAGACCCTCTCGCACGAGGTCTGCGAAAGGAACCGGAGACCATGGGGAGACCATGGGAGACCCAGACCCGAAGGCGGAATGCTTCGGGTCAGGTCAGGTTTGCAGGTGACCAGCGGAACAGGCGCCAGGCGCTTGGCGGCTGGAACCCGGGACACCCCATCGAAAGCCGCGAAAGCTGGGCGGGTAGCGGATAATGTAGATGCTTGATTCATCGAACCCCTCCGTTTGGATGCGCGCACTCGCGGTAAAACCTCTTTTCGTATAGGAGGGCTATACTGCTATACTTATCAAGGGTCTACATGAGGTTCCTGGCACAACTCTCTCTTGGCCTTAATGGTTGAAGGAATATGGTTTAGAAGTTTAGATGATCGCCTCTGTGCCGAGACTGCTTCCGAGGACCTGCCTGGAAGACAGGAAACGATGATCTCCAATCACGCCAATAGTCTCTAACCCCACCGTGTTAGAGTCCTCTTTGTTGGTCTGCCAGCACATTGTCCAAGAAGTTGTTCATGCCACTGTTGGGTGCAGTACCTATCCATATGTGTCTATCCATGCCATGAGATCTCAAAAAGACTTCTTGTACTCTGAGGTCGTTTTCGATCAAGTTTGGTTCCAGAATGCCTTGAGTGCCTTGATGCTTGGTGTGCCTTGGCGAGAACGAACGGTGCCGGCCGCGCGTCAAGTTCGCGGAGCCAGAAAAGCGAATCGAAGGCTCCGGAGCCAGCGCCACAACAATTCAAAGCCAGATTGCGAGCGCACGACAAGCACAGCAAGCAAATTTTCCGGATTTTGTCCACGTCACACGAAACTAACGCGATGTTCTAGTGATTCTATTGAACTGGCTCAAGTCTGGCATTATTTAACGGCATTGTGCACCCTGTCAAAATAACTAATTTTGGAACCTTAAAGCCACTGGGTTGTAGAGGAAAGCAGTCCATGCCATGCAGGTCCATTGCCGTTCGCCCGGTTCCATTTTGCCCCGTGTCCGGACCACGGGGATTGAGCGGCTTCCGTTTTTCGCGGCGGCACATGCTCGGGTGCACTTGGCCCCACCATCACATCCTTCAACAAAGATAGTGGAATTACACATAGTAAAATATAGTAAAATATGCTGGAATATGATATATGTCATGATATGCCTATATATCAGTGTTCTATCCACGTGTAAAAAGGCCCAAGCTCGCAGAAGAAAGAGCATGGACACCATAGGGCCTTGCTCCACACACGTGCCAGGCAAAGGCGCGGCACGGTGCCCAGACTTTGGTGGTTATGGTACTGAAAGCACTGAAAGATTGGTGGAATAGTGGTGTACGGTACTGGACAACTAGAATAGATAGTGGTGTACAGTGGTAGCAGTGCAGTGGTGTAGTGTTGTACCACTTCCTAGACTGCCACCTTTCATGACTTTTTGTTGTTTAAACTTTGGTGGTCGTTGACAGATTTACCCAGAGTCTTTGACTTGACCAATTCATTTTGACACTCCTATCAAAGGGGCCTCTTTCTTTGGAAAAGTCCTGGGACCGCACACACCCACCTGTGAGGTGATTGCTGTCTTGGGCATCATCGTGACAGATGTAAGCACAGTGATCGGGTTGGTTGGTGCGATTTGTGGATCCGCCATTATTTACGCAGCTCGGCCGTCAGACCAGATGATGGACACTGCTGAGATTTCTCCATGTAGGCTCTTGATTGCAACCGTTATTGCAAACATATAGATTGTAAAACCTCTTCGTATGCGGAGTTGAAATATAGATTTAGGTGACATATACCAGGACCCCCAGTCGGGATGATTAATGGACACCGCGAATCACAGCTAAGGGGCTATAAATAGACACCCCAAACGGAGGGTCCTGGTAGAGTCAACAGTTGACATCACGGCTCGAGCTGGGTGGCTCCGTGTGACACCGCGTCGACCGCTGCAGGGGGTGTACCGGTCGCCCCCCTCGCATGCAACGGGTGGCAAGGTCGGTGACGTATCCCGACGTGTGTTCATTTGGGTCAGCTGAACGGGTTCAGATGGGAACAGCATGTTTTGAGAATGGCTGGCATTCGGAAGATTGACTAAGAACAGATGCTTTCTGAGCATCTAGCCAGCCCTATGGATTACCCAAAAAGGTGGGCATTCATAAGACTTCTTTCATCTTCTTAGCACTCCCGATCGTGCTTTCAGCTCTCTATAGATCTGATCCCATCGGTGCAGCTGGCTCAGGTAATCCCATGTTTGCTCTTTGATCGTGCAAGCTCGAAATTCTTGGGCGGGAAGCCTCAGCGGGCGATGAACATGTCAGACGGGTCAGATGTTTGCATTCAGATGCTCGGATAGATGAAGAGTCCTTACAGTGGTTTCAGAGTAGATGGCACCATCTCCAAAAGGTCTGTTTAGAGCCTGTATCAAAGACAGACATCTTGGGGTCCCCCATCGAACCTCTGAAACATTTCACCAGAGTCCCAGCCCAGGTCTTGGTGACGAGCGGGCACATCCATATGATGCTCGGATGGCACTCCGGAGTGCTTTGACCCGCATAGAAATTGGACCTATTGACTCTGCTGGAGCAACCACAGCAACCAGGCTCCTCGATTCCGAAGGCACGGCACAACCGGGACATGTTGAAGTATACGCTTACCGAAGTGCAATTCAAGAGGTATACAACAAGATTTAGCACGTTCTTGCAAAGTATGGCTATGTATGTCATGAATAGCCTATTGTCCCTTTGGTGTTCCTACTTCTTCGGACATATTTTGATGCCTTTGGAAGCCGTACGTGTTCATCATGTCTTTTTCCAATTTGCCGGGGCAAGTGGACGTTCGCCATACAGATGCATCTCGGACCAGGTCTTGTTACTAGTTACTAGTTGCCTCTAAAGGAACCGTAGGCCGCGAGATCGGACCGTCACCGAGGAACGTATGTTAGTTCAAACGATCGGCGACTCGGCGAGAACCGGAGAACCCGGGGCGTTTTGCAGGATCTGGCTGGATTGGTGAACATGTCCATGTAGCATTGGGGTTCCCATGCGCATGAGTGCATGAAATCATGATATATATATATTTACAATATATATTATGGTATATACATTTATACATCATCACACTATATTGTTCTTATTTATTTAAACATATATATATATATGTGTGTGTGTTTGACTATATTCTGAAATCTGCATGGACTGATGTGGCTCCTTTTGCCCGAAAGGGGGTTCGCAGTTCCGTGCGAGCAGGAGTTGATCGAGTTTGGATCTAGGCGCCAAGAATGTTGGCTGCTGGAAAACAATCAACCATCAACATTTCGCAGTACCACCATTGTTCTACTCCTCCAAAGCCACTTTGCACATCCCCCAACAAAAAAATCGTGTCATGCCTTCCCCCCCCCCCGCCCCCCCCAAAAAAGGGAACACACACACACACACACTTAGATCCATGCTCGCAAGAGCTGCATCAGTTATGACCTTGACTTGCAATAACGGCATGGCGATCAGTCGGCTAACCAGAATTCTTGAACAAGCACGCACTAGCACTTTACAAGGAGATTAGGGTAACAGCTTGTGAACGTCACAACCGGAAAGAGAAATGATGTCACCAGCTGCGGCTGACTTATGCGCCCAGGTGCACTGCAGGTACATTTTGCACGTCCAAACTGATCTTCTTCGTTGGCTTTGCCGTGAAAGTGGACCCAGAGCCCCCGCTGAACTGTACCAATTCGTTGTGTCAGAAGTCCGTAGGAACTGGACTTGACACCCCCACACACCCACACCCTCTCTCGGCGACCCTGCTTCGAACCCGGTTTCCCCCGGTTCTCCAAGAAGGCAGGCGCTCGGGTGCTCAGGCTTCACCGGCGTGGTCTTGATGTTCGCCGGCTCGATGGCCAGCATCCTCCTGTGAGCGAGGAGGGGCACCGATCCTCGGCTCGGTGGATCGGGGAGGGGAGGAGTGACTGACCAGAGCGGGAGGAGGAGGAAGGGGAGGAAAGGGAGGGAGGGAGTTTGAGCGGGCGGAGAGAGTGGGATGATGGAAGGGTAGATGAAGATGAGATGCAGATAGGTAGATCATGATGATGATGATGATGATGATGATGACCTTTGCATAGATCAGATAGGCAGATGAAGAGTCACCAGAGGTTGTACAGTCTTTTGTGTGGCATCGTTTGTAGCAGCCTTTATGTTGCGTGTCAGGTCCGGGTGCGTCGCATTCGACTTTCGTCAGCTCTCACTGGCTCTCAGCTCACTTCACTCCGGCTGAAAAGCTTTTGTGTTTGCTTTGGGCCACCCTCCAATTTCCTCTAAAAATTCCAGATTCAGAAAAGGCATGATAAAGAGAACCTAGTTTTCCATAAAATGGACACACCTAGGGTGATGGATTCTATAGAAAACAACTGCTTTGATGTTGTGGAGTTGAGTTGGCTCACCACAAGTTTAAAGCTCCTCGGAGAACTTCATCGGAGCTGAGCTTTTCTGTTCTGAAGATTTCATGGAGGTCAAATGAAGTCAACAGATAAGTTCATCGGAGCTATAGTGTTAGGATGTAGGGTAGTCCAGTGGCCGTGCATTCTGTAAGGAATATACTTGCTGGTTTTTACATTTTGGGCACGGAGCGACCTTGATTCTACAGAGTTTGACATTTTTGGGCTTTCCCATTTGGTATCTCTAGTAATCGCGGGGCATCCCGTGACATCCCGTGACGTCACGGTGTTGGTTCCAACGTTGACTCAGCTGAGGAACTTCTCCAGAAGTTGCTTCAGCGCCCACGTTGCGCTTTGCTTAGTTCGATGGACCTCGCCCGGGCGAAGGGGCATCTTGTGGGACAGAAGCCAGGCCGTCGCATGTGACTTTTGGAGGTTCTAAGAATCTAACCTTTGTGCTCAATATTCACAAGTTCTTGAGAACCCAACTTGATATTGTTCAGGGCACAGGGCATTGTGAGTTCTGCTTGGGCCATGTCCGTGAGACTTGACGAATGGCTGTGAGGCTTCAGTCCCAATCTTCCCCATTAGAGGAACTCGTTCCATGATCATTTTAGGGATATTTGGCACTTATATATATAATTATACAGTTCTTATACTTATACAAACTTTTTGCCCTTCCATTTTTTTATTGTCTCCTCTTGGACAAGATGGCATAGCTCGGGCTGGCCAGATCGCGAACGGCTAAAAGATGTTGGCAGATAGCTCGGTGGTGGTGCTTCTGAGTGCTTGAGCGACCTCGCATGACCTGGCATTTTGACTAAGTGTATCCTGGGATTGGCATCCGTGGAGTGGGAAGAGGATCCGGTTTCTATTTGGGGGACAAACGCGCCGAACTCGTTGGTCGGTGTTTGGTGGCACTGTCCGCAGTTTGGGGCTTTAAGGGAATGGTAGAGCCAGAAATCAACAGCTTCAAGCTCGAGAATGGTTTGGGAAGAGACCGCTCTATGACTAGTGGCTTGGCCCGGACGGTCTTCAGTGTGCAGTAAACGGCCACTACATCCACAGTGGATCTTGCACTTGTTGCTTGAGCCGGCAGGGCAGCCCCTTCGGATTCCACCGCAGCATCTCGATCCCCCTCAAAAACGCGCGTGCTGGATGTCGCGGGCGTAGTGGCCGACTCATGGCGGGCGGCTTCAATTTCAACCCCGCAGCCTACCGAGAGCTGCGGCAGCAAAGGCTGCAGGGGAAAGGTGGCAAGGCAGGGAGCAGTTGGAGAGCTGAGAAGCAATTCCCACTGAGAAGCACTTGAAGAGTGGGATGTGATGGGAGGCTCAGGGCAAGGTACACGATGATATGATGATGTATAATGTACATATATAATCATATAATATATATATATATATTATATATATACACCTGTGTTTGTGTGCGTAGAGTGTAGATGATTGCGGGTTACAAGCTACAAGACAGATGACCTCTGTTTGGGTGGATGCAAGTGGACCGTGTGTTGGCATTGCCAGTAGTAGAACAACAGTTTGAGCGTTCTTCTTCTAGGCAGGGAGAGAAGTGTGTTCAAACGGTGGCCGGCTGTCATCGCACGAGGGCAAAGGGAAGGGCAAAGCCAAAGGGAAGCTTGCTTGGAAGAAGTTGAAGGCTAAGGCTAAGGCAGCCAAGGCAGCCAAGGTGCTGGTTCTGGATTCTGGATCGATTGCTTGTGACTGTTTGGTGCTTCGTGAGCCTGTAGCAGGGTTTTCAGCACTCGAACCTTCAAGCCTAGAATCAACGCATTCTTGGGGTGGCAATGGCACCCCATATTCTGCACGGTCAACACCGGTCAGCGATACCCACAGGGTCACTCATACTGATACTGTCACGGTATTATCAGAATTGTTCAAAAGATCGAAATCCCATCGAATTGCACAGAGAACGTGCATGTTTTGGCCATCATCACGGACGTCCATTCGTGCAGCAAACCCATGAAGACTCCGACCCTTGCAGGCTGAAGTGCCAAAGGCCACAAGAGAATCGGGGTCAGGTGAGGATGATGCGGAGTCAGAGGAGGCCAGGCTGGGTACGGAGGCCAGGCTGGGTACTCATCGATGGTTTGGTGCATCACTTCACCCGTAGCGAGATCAGCTTTGGGTCCAATCCGGGGGTCCCCAGAACGCGAGCGCTCACCCCGCAAAGCCGCCAAGCCCCGTGTCACGTGCTGTGTCATGTATCTAGAGACTCTTGATGAATAAACCCGCCCAGTTGAATTCAAACAAGAGAGGAGGATTTACAATCATCCTCCCGGCTCCCATGGGATAATCCTCCCATCCTCTTGATTAGTGTAGGCTCTTTACATGGGAGGATGATTCATCCAGAGCCCTCCCGGCTCCCGGAGCATCTACTCGGCACTCGCGGCGTAGACTCGTCGGTTGGACCTTCTGGTACTTCAGAAGCACCGGTGGAATAGCCGCAGCCTGTTGCAGCCTGTTGACATCTCTCAAATGAGTAGCTTTGTATCAGTTTGAATATCAGTTGCACAGCTAAGGTGAAGATCAATGGTTAATTCAACTGGGCATTCATGAAATGTTACGTACTTGAATGTCATTAGTTGCCTCCAATTCTCGCGACACCGGAGCATTTGTCCGGACATCGTGTTCGTCACTGACGACGCCTTCAGGTCTTTTGGCAGCCCACCTGGGACACGCTGGGCCCGATGGAGGAGCCAGTCCGAATGAAGCAATAACGTTCAAGAGAATTCCGCCAACACTTGTTCATATACAGCAATTTGTTTTTATCCGGTGTAACTATTTATCATTTTTATTATATATCTATTATTTATTGTTGGTACAAGTTCCTCCTTTTTGATCCTTTCTGTATATAGACTGTTGATGAATAAAGCCCCCTGCTAAGTGGTACTACCAGGATGGTCCAACATCTTCATTTGGATTTTAAATCATCAGCATTCAAAGCCTTCTCAAGACGGTCTTCTTGGATCTTCTTGGGTGCCACGGTTTGTGGTTTTTTCTCGTGTCCGAGCGACGTGATCTGGCATCCGGTCCTTTAGGAGGTCAAGGACAAGGGCGAGATGAATCGCTTGGGGCGAAAGCGTGAAAAGGCCTGAGACTCCGAGACCCATCGACCCAACCACCAGAACGACCCCCCCTTGTCCCACGCGAAAAGCGAGGGCAATTTGGCTTCAGTCGCCCATTGGAGACAGCCAGCCGATAGGCCCGATAGGCTAGGCTGAAGTGAGTTTCTACCAGCAAAGTGAGTGTTCTATGGGGTGTGGAGGGAGGCGCGTCCCACATTGAACCCTATGGGTGACCACACACCCTTTCGTCGTGCACCGTTGTCCGAATGAATCCGACACGGAGCCTGCGGGAAAAAGAGCGTTGAAAAAAAAGTGGTGTTTGCACTTTCTGGTCGAGCGCCATTGGGCTTCGTTGGTGAAGAGTCCTGCGAGTCGGTCGAACTGTTGAGGCATCGGGCTCGCGCCAGCTGTTGGAGTTTGTGGAAGAATGAGCTGCTGATCTTCTCCTGCTTTGCTGTTGCTGATCTGCTGTTGCTGGGTTTCCTGCTGGTCTGGGCTGCTACTGGTGTGCTGTTGGTGTATATGCTATAGTGCCTGCCCATGGTGTGCTGGAAGCATGCTTACAAGTCGGGTAATGCCCTTTTGGGCTTTTAGTCTGGGTTCTTGGTATTTGGTCCTTGTCAACTGCTCCTTGCCTCTTACCTTATCACTAGGACCTGCGTACGGGCTTCTACTGGCTTTCGTTCTTCCTTTCTCACGTTTTAGACTTGCACCGCACTCCAAAGGGTGTCATGCGCGGCCATCACCTGTCTTCCTGATACGACTCCAACCGTAGTCACCGAGTCTGGAGGAGGAGTTAGTGACAGCGGATGGACTGTACACTGCACAAGCGGATGGGTTCCACGTGCACGCTCATCCACGCATATTTGTATATATATATATAATAACTATTTGTGGTTTACTATATAACTCATTTCAAGTTGCAGCTTTGCCGCTGGAGTATGGGAGTGGCTGGCGACGTTCATTTTTGATCAGAAGGATTTTAACATAAGTGTCGAGTGCCTGTAATTAAGTATGCAGGCATGGAGCTGATAAGAGGAGATGTAGTGAGAGGGGAAGCGACAGACCCAAAAACACAGGATGAATCTCGGTGGATCTCCACAAAAAACAAGCAGGTGGAAAAAGCTTAAGCTAGCGTGGTTTTCCAGGGAACTGAGGGAGACAGCGTCAAAGAATGTGGTTTAATCTTTTGTGGGGCCTGGCTGGCCCGTTTCATACCTTTTTCATTCACTCTCTTCCATATAATTTGTTCCGCTCAGTGCGCCTGTCAGGCAGGGAAAGACGACTTTGGATTCAATGCATCTCGGATGACAGGTGCCGCAAGGATCACGGGGCCTGACTGGGTCGAAACCAGACCTGGCCGCCAGCCAGGATTTCTCGGGTCACCACATCAGACCCAAAGAGATCCGATCAGAGCCTAAGCTAAGTGAGGGCTTTGTGTCATGGACCGGATCTTTCGGGGACCTGAGAGGAAGATCCACGTCTCTCCGCGCGCGGACGGCGCGGACGGCGCGCACCGCTCGCGAGGTGATTCTGAATCGAGCACCGGCCATGCGTTCGCAGAAGAGTTTGCAAGCGTTCGGGAGCCTGGTCGATTGGACGCGGCCTTGGCCGAGGTGTTCGTGGGCCTGACCGGTTAGGCCTTGGTATCCTTGGTTGGTTGATGATGATGAATAGACTCGGGAAGAACATACAGGGTTGTAGAACGACCAAAATGGACCCCTCGATGATTTCCAAAGGCTGACATCATTGGGGAGAAGGACCTGGTCAACCGGGTGCCCAAGATTTGGGATGCCATGGAATGGAGTCAGATTCTTTTCCCTAGCCTTCAAAGACCATTATATAAAGGAATGATAAAGAATGGTTGACCTGCAGGGTGCTGGTGTAGTGTAAAAATCCTTAAGTAAAGCAACGGTTCTTTGGCAGGAACCATTAGAAGGCATTGGTTGGCCACGAATCCTAGGGTTTTGGGGTTGACATGCAGAAACTTCCGCTACCGTAATGGATTTGGAGACCGGGGCGTGTGTCCGGGGCCGGTCAGCGACACCGTGACTGCCGCGTTGGCCCGGGGCGCGGCGGACCCGCTGGGGGGCCATGGTTTTGGTTCACATTGGTCTGAGCGCATGGATAACCATGGTAACCATCCAAGCATTTGTCCCTCCCAGCAGAGGTTGAAGAACCCCCCTATCCCCTGTAGGGTCCTATAAGGTCACTTAACCTCTGTAGGTCCGTGGTAACCGAAAAAGACATGTTTTTTGGATTTTCGACTTCCATGTTAAGCCGTGAATCAGCTGGAGTGAATGAGATGTTCTTCTGGAGCTCGCGCCTTGAAACCACATTGGAGCTAGACAACAGTGGCAACAGTGGCATGAGGCCAGAAGATGAGCCAGAGGCCCCGGCCCAAAGCAGGGTGCCCAAGTGAGTTGACACTGTCAGATGACTTTGTCAGGTATGACCCTGTCAGGTATTTCAGAAGAGGGTTGGCGGGAAAGCACCCCAGAACAAGGTAAGCAGGGGTTATGATCCACCACCCTGGTGTTGGCATCCCTGATGTGACACATTGGCTGGTTTCAGAGTAGATGGCTCAACAGTGCTCAACCCGCCTTGAGGTCTTAGACAGATGGGTCCATCTATAAACGAGTTTACCATCCAAAGTCTACAGCAGGCATGGCAAATGGCCTTCATGCGCTGGGGAGTGTGGCCACCTAACTAAAGCCACTCTAAAACACCTAGCCTCGGGATCCGTGCCGCGCTCGGGGACCCGGGAAGACCGAGGCCGGCGAGCGCGCGCGCAGCAGCGTCGTCGACAGCGGAAGTTGCTGGCGATCCAGAATGGTGAGGCGCTGATCCGAACCGAGCAGGAAGACACGATGGGCAAGGGTGTCTGATTAAATGCATCTCAGCCCAGGTTCCTCACCTGGAGGGTTTGGATGGTGTCTCGTTGCCATGCTGTTGGATCAGCAGACCCCTCAGACCCGATCAGATTGAGTCGAAAGAGACAACACGCCGACCACCCAAATAGATCCAAAGAGTGTTCACATAAAAGTGACCAATAGTGGCCCCCAAATAGATAGAAACGGTTTCCTATATTCTTAGTGGGGATCTACTTTTCTATCTATTGGGGAGTTTGATTGAATTATATTGAACGCTGAGGCCCAGGTTCCTCGCCTGTGGAGAGTTTGGATTGTGTCTCAGCGTTGCCATGCTGCGGGAGGCCTATGAATTATATTGAATTTTCATGTCATCCTGGTAGTCATCCTGGTCTAAGTAGTGACATGAACATGAATGCAGCAGCCACTGGCTTCAGAAATCGATTTTGTCCCACTTTTTGGGGCATTCGACTTCAATCCTTCACATAGCACAAGCACAATCGCTTTGCTGCGAAACGTGAACCTTACAATATGCAGATGGGCCGAAGCCTTCACAAATTGTTCAACTGCTGCCGGTGAGGCTTCTCACTGCTGAAAAAGATTGGACTCACGAACTTTGAGATGGAGACAGGATCTCTTCTTTGATTCAGTTTTGTCCCTCCACCCAAATGCTCAGTTTGACCGTCATATGGAGGGGCGGTCCGTTTTGAGGAGTGTGTTTGCACTCCCCAACATAAGCTCATGGTCACGTGGATGGCGCCTGGACTGGTCGGATGGCACCACCTGGATAAACTCTTTCAAATATTTTAACATACCCTAGGGATCCACATACCTTCTCAGAAGGTACTTGGGCCCTCCAAGCCTACATAAATAGTCTCCAATCACCTTCTGACAAGGTACTTGGATCCCTAGGGATACGGGTTTTGCCGCTTCGCCGCTTAGGGGTTGTCTCCACGTTCTTTTTTCCGTTAAAGGGCACCGCTTTTTTCTCGGAGCAAGTGACAGCAACTCCCGGATGATACTGAGCTGAAATCATGTGACATAACGTGATAAGGCTTTCATACGGTTCGGTTTGTGTCGATGCGGAGCCATGGCTGGCGATTTCTTTGGCTGGCTATCGCTAGCTCTGCCTACAGGCGTGGGTGGTTGTTGGTGCGTCGACAGACTAGAAAGCGATCGAACAGATTTGATGGATCAGTATGTCATGCCGGGCTGTGAGTAAGGAAGACTCGATTTTGCACTTCATGTTCAGTGATGTTGCGACAGGTTTGGCAAAGCATTTGCAATAGAGAGATGCGGAGTCCAAGCAACACATCCCCAGATCCAATGGCACCTTGCAAGAAGAGTCTTCCGTTCTTGAGGAAGTGGGAACAGGAGTGGAGACTGACATCCCTCCATCCTCAGGCCGGCAGCGGATCGTGCGTTAAGTCGCCAGGCCTTCTCCAGGCGACTTCGCGGAGGCAGCGCTAAAGGCACGGGGAGACCACCGCTTGGAAGCCTACATCCGAGGCGAGGAGCCGTCGGTGTTTGGGGCCGTACACTGTACACTGTACACTTGCGATGGCCTGAGAAGGCTGAACGGCTCTGAACGGCTCTGAACGGCTAGATTGAAACGGAATTGGACTGTAGGACATATGCTGAATCATCGACTTCCATAGGCGATGGAAACAGGGAGAGAGAGAGAGAGAGAGATTGATCCGTCCATTGCACATACACACACACACTTAGATCCATGCTCGCAAGAGCTCTATATCAGTTATGACTTCCACACACACACACACACACACACGTTTCCCCAATAGTACGTAGCCGATAAGTGTTTCCTCATTATTGCAAGAACATGAAAGCAACGTCATTTGTCAATTGTTTCCCTATGTTTTCTTCCTTTCTGGACGCTGCCAGCGCTTGCATGGCTAGGTGGAAAGGATCCCGAAGAAACGCACTTCGATGAGTTGGAGTCTCGCGTTCCACGGGGTCGGGCTGAACGATCCCAACCGTTGCTTAGACTGCTGGCTGGTATACAGCATGATAGCCCGTGGAGGCTCTGGTAGATAGGAAGAGATGCCTGCTTTCAACGGAGAGATTTGGGGGGATTTGTGGGAGGATTGGTGGGGGTCAGAGCCTGACTCATGTTGCACCTAGCCGTTCCAAGCAAATACTTGTGGGGGTCATACAGTGCTATATAGTGTTACTAGTAGTGTTGCTGCAAGTTCTGGCAGGATTCTACCACGATCCTATGAATCATCCACGCGGAACCCCTTCGTTTGTTCACTACCTCACGCACCCTGCACCAGTGAGAGCACTTGCCCTTGGCATTTTAGAAGGATTTCAGCCTTCGATTTGGTCCTTTGATCGGGTGATGCTGGTCCCCTGAACTGGACTACTCCCCTAAACTGGAATATGGGTGTGTATTAAAATAGGGAGATCCTCAACCAATGTGTTTTGGTCTTTTCATGTCTTCTTCCGTTCGCAGTCGTTGCCTCCAAGGGCGCACACAGCTCCGTCAAGGCCGCCGGCAGAACGGCTCGTCGCCAAACCCCCTCAGCCGAGGATTGGCTCATCGGTTTCTCTGAGCTGTGGCTCTACGCGCTCCGCAACGCGCGTTTGGCCCTGAGCACGGCCGCGACGACCACGGCAACGGCTCCGAGCGCCAGGCCGATGCGGGGTGCCCGAACGGGAAGAAACGGGAAGGTCCCCGGCGTTTTGGGAAGAAATGTGAAGAAACCAGTGGCTGCCTTGAGACCGTGAACTCCCACAATGCTCCCATAAAATATACATTGCATAGTCTAGCTAGATGACAGTGACAATCCCCAATGTCGGTGTTTTTTCTGGACATCTTGAGGTGACCACTGTACATGTTGCGGCTCTGCTTGGAAGTTCCGGGGAAAACCCTCGGGGCGATGCTCACTGCTCGCCAGTCCTCTTTCCTCGCTGCGTCGAGCCGAGCGGCAGCTCCTGGCAGCGCACGGGCGCGAAGAGCGGCAACGCCGGGCGTTTCAAGATGCACGCAGCTCGGATGGAGCTCCATCATTTGGATTTGCATGAGCAATCTATCCAGGTCGTTTGCAGCTACCCCTTTTTGATATCTGATTTTGATTTCAAGACTCCCCAACATCTCAACATCTCCCATCTTCCCTGAGCCCTGATATGCTTTTGTGGTTGGTAGACTGTTGTATTCTTATACAATTCGTAGACCTTGGTTGGAAGGATTCTGGAAGGCTTGAACAATGTTTCCAGGTCCTAGGTCGTACAAGTTGCTTCACCCTCATTCTCAGATCAGAACACGCTGGAATGTGCAGTATTGTGCTATTGATGTGCCTTTGAATGAGTTTGGACTTTGAATCCCTTCCAATCTTTTTCGGAAACAATGGAAGGCCCGGGCTCAGACGGTAGAGAATCACCCCCCAGATGGTGAAATCAGGTCCTAATCCCAGGGCTCAGGGATCCCCATATCTTCAGGGCTCGTTGGACCCTCCAAGCCGACATGAATGTATCTCCAATCACTCAGAGGGCATGGATTAATCCATACCAAAACATGTCAGGTCTTGGAGGGTTTTCGGGTTTTCGGTGCGGAATCCTGAAAAAGCGCAAGAATCCAGGAATCACCTTTGATCAGCATGCCGCTGAGCTACGTGCCATGGCTGAAGTGTCACGCAGCTGCACCTGAGTCCACTTCAGGACATGAGCTGGGATATGCTGCTAGTTTTTGTTGACGAGGGAGCGGGGAGAGATGAGGGTCGCCGGGGGCATCCACATTCCCCGTTAAACAGGGAGCCAAGGAGCTACAAAGAGTTCCTTAACCCCTTGGTAAGCTGGGCGTAGGGTGTATATTCAACATGAGGCGATTGATTGATGTTTTGCCTCGCTGAACAGCGTTTTCGCAGGTGGAGGTGCTCGTGCGGCGAAGGGAATGCCTCCCAGTCTGTGGGGCCGCGCTTTCTAAGGAATGCCACTCGAGAAGTGCTAGCGAGTAAGCACATCCCACTGCCGGCAGAAGCACAGCTCAACCGAAACTTGATTGACACTGGAGAGAATGTGGATTTGGGATGGCTTGATGGGCGGTCACGCCACCTAAAAATCTTCCTTCCCTTTAGATCCACTGAGGACCAATGAACATGGACAAAAGAACTGGTCGTCAACACTTGAGGGGTGAGTTGGTCCTTCAGTTACTTGAGCTGGCTGTAAGTTATTGGTACCTGGAGCCCCCAATTCCCTAGCAGGTGGCCCCATATTTGGCAGTCTATTTGCTTCATGTTCGCTGGGAAAAACCCGGGTCCCCCGGCTTTGACCCACAGCCAACTGAGTTGCAAGTAGTGGGTTCAGAGACTTCAGGCTCAGGCTGCACGCCAGCCACGAGAGCTCTGGAACGTCCGGACGAACTGAGTGGGAGCGGACTGTGTGGGGATTTGGGGTGCAACAATAGCAAGTCGCCTAGTTATGGAATGAACTTGAATGAACTGGGTAAACCGGGAGGGGGGCAGTGCAAACCGGGAACAAAAAGAGTAATGAAGGCAATGCTCTCAGTGCTTGTGAGTTCCATTAAAATGGCTGCAAGGTCAGCTTGCTGTGTTTTTGTTGATCGTGTCCACCACCTGCCTTTGCAAATGAAATGCAGCCTTGCAGTTCCTCCTGGCTTGCTAAACCGGCTTTGTCTTTTTGGGGGCGCTTTGAAGTGCACACCATGAATCTTTGCCTTGAGATAGGGTGCAGATTGAGAGAGTGACAGGGAGTGAGGTGGAGTGAGAGCAAGAGAGAGAGAGAGAGAGATTCACCCACATCCAAGGGTCAGTGCGCCTATCCAACGGTTTGGATATGCCTCGGCTGGGATTGGGCACCACCATGCTGAATGGGGAGAAGGGAAAGGCAGCTTGGATGTCACTAGCTGCAAGCTGTTCTTGGGACATGTCATCTCACCAGGACTTTCAATGACACAACGGATGGGTGTGTGACATGTGAATTGATTCCTTAGTGCGCTGGTCTTGGTTGGTCATCCAAAGTTACACGCACACACACGCACCAACCACTGGACTTGTTTGGATAGACTCACCACCGTCACCTTGACAAGAGTTGGCAACTTGCTCCATTCCTGATTTCATGGCGCTGATCCCCCAACCTGCGATGTCGGAAGATATTTTCTCTCGATTGGTGTGTCTCAAATCGACCTACTGAAGATTCACATGTATCATGTAACCCCCAAAACTACTGGAAAAAGGAAAAGGTCGAAACCACAGATAAAAGAGATAAAGAAACCCCAGGTGAAACGAAAGCCAATGTACGTGAAACAGGGTGTTATATAATTCTCAGGGTTCTAGAGAGTCTGAGAGACCTAGGAAGCCATATTGGAAGCCTTCCGCTTGGGATACCGCCTGGTGGACACTGCACAGTCCTACGGGAACGAGGCCGGTTCAGGGGACACTGCACAGAGGTCGGTTCAGAAGTTTTTAGATTTCATGGTCAGGAGGAGGATGTGCAGGATCTCTGTGCTTTCTTACACCACACTATCACATTAGCTGGTTTCTACACTTACTTACTGGAAGCCGGTACCTTTGTATCATTGTAGCTGCAGGATTTCACGGAATGCAATCCCTATCGTTCGCAAAGCACCCCATCATCCAAGCCTAAGCCTAAACTCACGAAAAACAATGGGTTTGTCGGTCACCCTCGGTCTTTGTTCTGGTTTGATCTGATTCTCAGGCTGTTTACCTGCTCGCTCCAAATCCATGGTCGGACTTCAGAGGCAGAGCTTGGCTCCGCCTGGCGTTCCTCCGGCTTGCCGCGCCACCAGCTCTTCCTCGTGACGAAGCTCTCAGAGGATGAAGGCTGCCGTCGAAAGAGGGCCAAGGCGGGGGTGAAGACGGAGAACGTTCCGAGACCCACACGGAACCTGAAGAACTCTATCCAGACGCTCCATGGGGCTGCCATATATGCCGATCAATTGGGGTGGTGCCAGGGGGGTCAATGTAGGCATATATGGCATACATGGAGTGTATGGGCTAAGAGGAACATCATGTTCAATGCCATCAGGTTCCATGCGGGTCTCTGAGGGGGGTGTAGATGGACGCTGCGGAGTCCGCTCGGGAGCTGCAGCGGCGCACCGCCGGTCATGTCCGGTCACAACTCAGAAACCTGAAAATTATATGTTCGATCACATTCATATTCAAATAAAACTGACTAATTGTATATATACTAGGCTGAAATGACAAAGGACTTGTATGTCATTTCGACCCAATTGGCCTAAGTCATCTCACCCTAGTATATATATATATATAGTTATACACTTTGGAAGACAAGCTGGCCATGTGACTACTGAAACGAAGACCTGGGCTGCCAGCACTGCAGGCCCTGGTGAGGCAGCAGTTGAAACTGATGCAGACCAACTACATCGACCAGTGCCCATCTTCGGTAGGATGGTGATGCTTTGCCCATCTTCGTAGGGTTTGCATGTGGCAGCGCTCCGATACGGAGCCTTTGAAGAAGAGTATCAAGTCCTCCAAGCTGAGCAGGGCTACTAGAAGTGGTCTTCCGGCCTACGTTCCACTTCCGTATTTGGTCTGAAACACCTGAGAGAACAATCCAATAATCTGACCCACGCATTTGGTGCTGATGGGGTAATCCGGGCAAGGCACATGAGGGATGGTCACAAGGCATGTGTTGCTTTTGTGCCGCTGCAAAATGAATCCCATGTTCCAGTGGAGATTCAGCAGATTTAAACATTTATATGTATGTATATGTACCAAATTACCAGTCGCGGGTCCAAATTCGACATGGTCAATGAGAGATTTTCACTGCTGAGAAGTTCATAAAGATGAAGGCTGCAGGTTTTGCAGATGTCCTTCAGCATCAGTCAGCTTGTGGCACAGTCTCAATCTGCCAGTGGTTTGGAGCTACTCAGCTGCTCATGGCAACCCTTCATCAGTGAGGTACATGCTCCATGGCCCCTGTCCCGGGATGTATGGAGCATGGAAGGCCTTTGCGACGACGTGCTGGGCCGTTTAAAACGCTCAAAACGGCCAAAGTCATGTCGACTGTTGATGAACAACCCCCCCACTGGGATGGTTCTACATGTCAATCTGGATCGTTTGATGTATCCCTACAAATCCAAGTACCTTGTCAGAAGGTGATTGGAGACTATTTATGTAGGCTTGGAGGGCCCAAGTACCTTCTGAGAAGAAGGTATGTGGATCCCTAGGGTATCAACAGTCTTTGCCCACGGTCTACGTAAGTATATAGGAAAAAAACACAAAAGTGCTTGGAAGTCAGAAGCTGTGGCCTATACCTGAGAACCCTGAGAACATTCGTACCCCAAAAGTCCCCACAGTTCAACATTTGCAACCCACGTTCCAACTCTTTCACTGCTTTTCTGACCCTCGCTTTGGAGCGCTCTCCCCAGGCAAGCTCCGGGTTCACCCTCTCAACCCGGCCGCCAGTCCCTGGTAGTCCGTCTCAAATCCTGTCGCGGTGCGTGTCGCGATGCGGTCCAGGACCTGGAAGAGCTCTACGACGAGGGTGTGGTGCGGTCCCTGGGTGTGTCGAACTTCAACCTGGAAGAGCTGATGCTTGGCCAAAGGCCCAGGGCCCAGCCGCCCAGCCATCCCAACAGATGAACTTAATGCCCCAAACAGCGGGCAACCGAGCGCCGCCTTAAGCCCATTTGGGTGACGCTCGGACGCCGCTGGGTAGACTGTCCAGAGCCCTGAAGGGGTCGGAACGCCCTGCGGTTCGGTCGACCGCCCTGAGGAAATACACACATCCATGTCTGGAGCCATCCATGAAGAGCCCAGACATGGATTGTACCTCTTCATATGGGGGGTGTACAGAGTCAGGCTCCACATCAAGAGGAGCATTTGATGGAATGTGTTTCACCAAGCAGGTAGAGTTGTTGCAGTTTCCATGTTGCTTTGCCCAGATGCTGTGATATGCGCAGCAACTATGGATCATGTGACAACTTGACTTCACATGAGTTTCCGCCGGACGGTCCTAGGAAGCGATTCAACAGTCATGTGCGCGTGAAGCCACATGTGGTACAGAACAAGTTTTCCATCTACCACCGTGGATGGGCCCCAGTGCAGACGCAGGAGATGGGTTTATACATGGGTCAAGCTGGGTACATAAGAGATTTGGCTTCGATGATGCTTCAGTGGAGGTTTCAATATGTCAAGATGAAGGACACATCACGGGATCTAAGATTTTGCACCTCGGTTGAAGGACCTCACCTCGAGTTGCCCCATGTTGCTGGGAAGTACTGCCCAGTTGAACTTGAACAAACTAGGAGAGGTCAACTATTGCCAACATGAAGATTAGTTTGTTGAAGTGACCAATTTCAACTATAGGAGAGGTTTCGTTGAGCTAATGTGTCTTTTTCAAAAAGCGGTTACAAATTGAACGGCAAGCAGACTGAGCCAGAGCCAGTTTTGAGGGCGCTTCAGAAGGGTGATATTTTTTTACCAGGGTGAGGCAACTATATGCCAAAAAGTGCCTGTCGTTACAAGAACAGTTATCCAGCCATTGGTACAGATATGGCTACCATAGGCCCGGGGATCCGTTGATGTGTGCCTGTTCATGCCCCATGTGAGCATGAGTGGAACTAGACGATTCTCAAATTTTGGATTTTACAACCGCCAAGGCCGGTGGATTGCTAGCCTTTCTCCTGCCACACTCGTTTAGTGAGTGGGTGAGTGAGTGAGCGAGCGAGGGAGTGTGTTTCAGAGCTCAGTCCCTTGGAGGATGTAGCTCAAAAGCTGCTGAGCTGGGGAGTGGTGCTGATGGGCTACTGTAACTTGGACGCGCGCCTGGGCGACAAAGGCAGCTTTTCCTTTTACACCATTGAGTGCCGCGCCAAAGGGCTTTTCTTGGCATGTAGCTTGGGGAAAGCGAGTCAAGAGGAGCCGAGGAGCACCAACAAATCGAAGTGAAAGTCGTGAAAAAGCAAGACGCTCCTCATGGCGCGACCACCTTCCATTCTCCTAACACTGTTTGGTCGGGAGGGCTCGGGACTCGGCCCGGCCGGGCGAGCAAGTGCCGTTTCGTCAGGTATCCTCATGTGCTCCAGCCACTTGAAGATGTCCATGTGAAGAAGATCGCCCAAAAACACCACCGCACGGTGGCACAAGTGCTGCTGCGCCACGCCTTGCAGCACGGTACCGTGACTCGACTCCCGACGACGCGATGTTCCGTGGGTCCCGACCGTCGGACGTCGGGACGAACGTGGTAGGCTTGGGTGGTTCTTGGAGGATGCGAATGTGTTCAAGGTTATTTTTTCTGGCTCGAATTTCGGGTGGGGTGTCGTTTTGATGCTGCAACCTCTTTAGGTTGAATTGAGGAGCTTCATACAAACAATATCAAACAATCATTTGTGATGGACCTGATTTGTTCTTGCTTGCACTATTGCCACCGGATGCCGATCCGATTCGATTGGTTCCGAAAGTGATGCTGCCGTTGATCAAAACATGAAACGTGTTGGCTGGAGGAATGTGAAAGGCAGCCCACCAGGAGAGATTATATTCAATGTGATTATAATTGATAATGTGTGATATATTATATTATATACAGTATATCTAGATATTGATATTGTTTGACCCAGCTGTACGAACAAGACACCTCCCAAACAGTCCACAATGGCCTTGTTTTTTTGGGGGGTCCGTCTGCAAAGATGGAGTCCAAAGTCAGGTGGTCATCCCAAAGTCCGAGCGTGCAGAGCGTTTGCGGGAGACGCTGAGCTGCGTTGAGCTGCCGTCACGTCAGCCGGTTTCGGACGCGTGATCACCAAGGAAGTTGAACTGGAGAAATATATCAATCGTCATGAAGAAACACACCTTAGGAACATTACAGTGGATTGAGAGCAGATGGCACAACCCCCAAGATGTCTTTTATACAGGGGTCCATATAAACCACCAAACTTGGGGATTGCGCCATCTACTCTCAACCCACTATAGATATATATAGATTCTCAAATGCCTGATTCGAAGTTCCTGAGGAACGCTGACATTTTCAGCTTCCAGTTGTCTGCCGAAGAGATGCGCGACCTGTCCTTATCAGACTTTGTTGATGTCCTGGACTGTCCCCAGAGTGGCTGCTGCGAGCTGTTGATACAAGCATTGTCACGTAATTATTCTCTTTGCACAGTGATTTTTTGCCAACATTTGCGATGCTGCGCAGCTAACGTAGATGAACTTGAACTGCTCAACTGGGCGTTGCTGAGGCCTCTTGGATGCGTTGCCCTTATTGGCATATCACTTCAAGAAACCCAAGTACATTGAGGACTGGACAAGTTCAACCAGAAGGGTGATCGATCACCTCATCCGCTGCTGCTCAAGCAACGATTGGGCACTTGGTTACTTGATGTTACTTGGCATTGGCGTTTTCCCTGTTGTGCTATGCTTGGAAGAGACACAGTCTGTTCAGTACAAAGTTCATCATAAATCACTTTTCCCATGTGTGTTCCCCCTTCAGGTTCCAAGACCAGAATTTCGGTCAGCCTGCTAAAAATTCCCTTCAAACGATGACGCGAATGACGCCCCGTGCCGTCACTTCCGGCACATCTGTGTGGAGGACGTCTTCCGTTGGAACTCCAAAGAAGAGCTCTAACCCGGCACAGTTCGCGACTTCGACCCACGCGATCCGAAAAGAGAGCCCGGTGGTCAGTCCAAGCGAGCCGCAAAAAGAGCCCGGATGTCTGCAAACGCGGTCGTTTTCGGGTCGTTTTGGGTCCTTTCCACCGGGATTTGTGCGAGATGTCTCAGCATCATTCAGCATCCAACTATGGATGGAATCACTGCCTTGAGTCTTCGGTTGGAATAGCCCGGACCGCTTTGTGTGCAACTCAGAAATCAAAAGGTTTACATAATGTTCGGTAGAACAAACTTGGCACATCTTGGCACCACAACGGCCCACACATGTTTTTCTTGAACTCTTAATGGCATCCATGAACACGGATCTTGTCGCCCAAACCATCCCCAGTAATTTCCTCAGAAACCATTCTTGTAACATCTTGTAACTTTAAATTGTTCAATGTAGATAATGTAGATTCTTGATTCATTAAACCCCTGGGACCCCTCATACATAGCAGAGCCTCGACAATCCATGTCTGGTGGGGTCATTCATTGCTGACTCCGGTGACCCCGCCAGGTGCCTCCCCCGCCAAAGCGTTTGGCATTGAAGGACAGCAGCGAGGCTCCGCCAAAGGCGGTGCCAATTCAGGCGCCTTCGGGCACAGAGGCTCTGCCAAAGGTGGGGGCGCACCCGTGGTCGGAGAGCATCCAATGTTTTTTTGCTTTTTAATTCTTGATTGTGCGCACTGGCATAGCAGCATGTAGCAGCCCACTCGACCCTTAGTGGTGCTTGCCGTTGGCTGGCGTACTCGACCCTTAGTCCATTTTGGCTTGGAGATTTCATGCTAGACTGAACCTGTAAAGGTTAAACCCTTAACAAACCAGTTAAGCCGTAACAACCCGAAAAAGTACATTTTTTTGAAAAATGTTGATTTTTGCTTTTGGTATAAAAATTTTTATCTTGAGTATGTATTGAGTAAAAGGGTAGGTATTGCGTAATGGCATAAATAACATGTTATAACATATTAAATATAACTTGTTGGTCATAACATGCATTGCAGTATACTTGATTCATCATATACTGTTGGTCATATACTTGAATATCTCCGGGCAGGCTTGCTTGGAGGAGGCCATTGTCTACATGAGAGGCTCCAAGAATTTGATGGTGCCAGCCCGATGGAAGAACACCTTCCCATATTGTATATAGATATAGAATGCGAGCGTGATTAACGTGATATAGGAGAAAATGGGTTGAGCATGTATTTGGACTGGTGAGCATGTATTAGGTAACACGTGACCCGGAGAAATAGAAATTAAGACCCGGAGAAAATACTGACCCGGACTAGACCCGGAAAAACCCGGACTCTGAGCGGAGAAACCCGGATTCTGAGCGGAGATCATGAGCATGTAATGGTGTTACATGAGCATGTATTGTGTAATCCAGTGATTGTTGCATGTAGCCATTGGGGATCACATGGTGCCACTACTGAGCCGTGTTTGGAGTTGTTCAGACCTTGTGAGGGCGCAGCCATGCTTACTGATGATGCTGTGCTGGCAATGAAGAAGAGTCTCCTGTCAGAGACTCATGGGAAGTCGCATATACTGTACTATTCATCAGAGACTCCTGTCTGTACTTGATTCATCATATACTGTACTATTCATCATTAATCATAACCCGGAGATATTCAAGTTGAGTATGTATTTAGTAAAAGGGTAACTTTTAAAAAAATAAATTGAAATTATTATCATTGAGTATGTATTTCTCAAAAATGTACATTTTGAAAGACGGTGTAACAATTCTAGCACTTTTGGTTTAGCTGGAAGGACTTATGGACAGCCAAGGTTTAACCCCAGAGGGAGCTTAGTGGTTTTGGAAGCGAATGGGGAAATTAAATGGGGCCACACCGCCGGTTTGCTGGGGAGTTTTTCAAGTGACATGGCTTGCCCTCAGCATCACACTGAGCTCGCAGAACTTGCATGAGAAACGGCTATAAGGAGCGACGTGGTTGGTCTAGTTCATTTGTCCTTGTGCGGATTATTATGCGGCGGGGCTTTGCGAGATGCTGAGATCATGCCTGGCAGGCGAAGTTGAAAGCACCTGGTCGCAAGAAGAAGAAAATCAAGGTCAGTGTCCAAGAGCCGCTGGCAGTATAGCTTCAGAGTAGATGGAGATCCCAACAAACAGTGTTCTGTTGTTCTTCAAGGGGGGCATCATCGGACAGCCATTTCTTTTTTGCTTCTATGAGAAGGCTCGGAGGCCCCAATCAATACATGTGTATCTCTTTATGGAGCTCATATGAGCAATGATGATGAACTCATATACTGGCAATCTTTCCTAGTACCAAATGCGACATGGGTGCTGCATGCTCTTTTACTCTTTGATCATTTACACAATCTTTCTTGTTCAGCAGCTACTGTCACTTCACTGGTCCACCCACCAACCTTTTTCCGCGCGAGATGCTGGATGGCGTGAATCATGGCGTGGTGGTTGCAAATCATGTCCAGCGCTCTGTTAGTCCAACATGTCCAAGCCGAGTGGCTATGTCCAAGCAGTGCGGTTGAGGAGAGTCGTAGCATGGAAATCTGCGCGTCCTTAGGGCATCCGGTCATTCAGAATGATACTCTCAACTACTAGGGTCTGGAATGGGTGACCCTCCACATTTTGACCAAGCAACTAGTTGAGCCGGTTGACCTGGTGGTGTGGTGACCGGTGTGGTGCAAAATAGCGTATATGTCCTTAGTACAACAATGGTTCTTTGGGATTCAGACCATTATAGCCATGGTTGGCCACGAATCCTAGGGTGAGAGGTGAGAGTATCCAGTGGATGGTCGGTTTTTGCTTCCCGCCCCAGGCGAAGGAGTGACGCGGCGACCGGCAGAGCCGGGGAACGCAAGTTGGCGAATCTGGCGAAGCCAAAAAGAGGATGGTCCAGATATGTCCAGATGCTAAACACATGGCAAGGACGGAGAAGTGTGGCTGAAACTTCACTGAAGGACAGAGTATAATACTGTAATACTGAGTATACTTTAGATGTAATTGCCTTTTTCCATCGACATTGGTGTAGTCTGCAAGTCCTGCCAGAAACTGGGCTACTGGGTGAGAGGATGGCTGTGCAGGGGTTCAGACGTTCCTAGAATATGCTGTTTTGAGGTTGAAGCACCCTTGTTAAACTTTTTGACTGGCTGCCAGATGCTTTTTTGATTTGTGGTGGCCATTCGTCCATTGGCTCTTGGTTTGCCAGCTCTTTCATCATGTTTCAACACAAAATTGGGTAGACCTGAGTGGCTTAACGTTCCTTGTGGAAGTCCGCAGTTTTGTTTGGATATGTTTCCAAGGGGGGCTGATTCATACATGGTTTGTTTCATTTTGTTTCTACATGGGCCTACTGCCTCATTAGCCTCATTCCCACTGACAATCAGTGCGTTTGTGGGGGTTTCGGACCCAATGTTTACAAGCTGATACTGCAGTGGGACTCCTGATGGTGACCAAGTGATGCATCGTCAACCCAAATCAGATGCAGAATCTGTAGAAATTATCTTTTTGGAAGACTGTGAGGAAAAGTACTGCTTGACATACCTCATGACCCCCACGCAGGTGGAGGCCCTTCACACCTCCTGCATCAGCGAACTTCAGGCTGGAAGGAAAAAGGAACTGCAACAGTGGCACTACTGAACAGTTCGGATGATGTGGAGGATCTTTTGCTTTTTTCTTGATAATTTTTGCTCCGAATACATAGCGCGGCAAACAAGTTGACGACAGGACCATAGCTAAGCCTTGTTGGTGTCCCCCTTCGAAGTGGAAGGAGCATACAGCATACGTGAATCTCTCCAAAGCAGATAGTCGAGGAATCCTTCATCTATTTTGGTACCCCAAGAATCCTTGGGTCCTCCTTGGCAGGGGTCTGTACACTCAAGTCCGGTTTCTTAGGGTATGACAAGTGACAAAAGGAACTCTCACTCCAAGCTTCTCTGGACACTTTTGTACCTCCGACTCCATCCATTCATACAGAATCCACTTCCATCATCTTCCATCTACTTCCAAATGACCATGTCCATTCAGCTTCCCAGTCTCCCAGTCTCCGCACCTGCCTCCCAAACACGGAAAACCCCTCCCCCCTCCAAAGTCCGCTCACGCCAGGCAGCGGAGGAGCGACTGAAAGAAAAGGACCGGCGGCACTCGCGTCGTTGGTCGGCGGCAGCGAGTGGTTTTGGTCACCGAGAGACTCCCAACACCGAACCACGCGGGTCGTGACCCACCGGGAGCCCCACCAGTCCACCATGGCCGCCGATCGACCGGCACCAGGTCAAGCTGACGGCGCGGCGCGCCTCATGGTGTCATGGACCCACAGCCACATCTCTTTGTGTTCGATGTGCTGTTCCATTCCCATTCTATGGCGGAGACCGGGAGACCGGCATAGCCTCATGGCATGTCTACGCATTTTAGTTGTATCATCCAAATGGTATTTGTGACTTCTAGTTGCAGCAAGGTCGCAGGTTAGAGAACCCCTGCGTTCTGGATCCCTGCGCTGAGCCCAGATGGCTTACCAGATATCAGAGCAAGAAGGATCCCTGTATGCCATTCTTGGACCCTCACATGGCAATTCCTACCCAAAATTCGGACAACTACTTTTCAGGGCAGGTGGCACACTTCTGTGGGCCAGCTGAAGAACGATATCATCGTTTGACCTGATGCTTTCACGCCTCCTCTTCCGGGTGGTTCCACGCGGTACGCGCTGGGCTCCACGCGGCGGCTGAAGGCGTTCTCCGCAGACGCGTGGGGCGTGGGCCTCGCGTTTGGTACATCCGGATGGGCAGGAGAACGAACTGGCTGACAAGACTGCCAACATCAAATGCCTCATGGGCGACCAGGTGGAGCAGGAGAGGCGGTGACTGACTGCGGCGGTGACCAACCGGAGAGAGGGAGCTTCCGGAGGCGGTTTGTCTGTACGCGACAAGTTGGTTGAAACATACTGAAACTTCATTCGTTGGGCTCATTGGCACTAGTCCTTAAAGGTATCTTGAGAGATCTTAAGAGTA